TAATGGGGGTGGGGTTGGGGGTGTCGATAAATCAGAAAGCCGATACAGGAGGGCAAAGGGCAGAAGCAAATCTGCGCTTGTTGGGGGTGCAGATTCTGCCTCCCCCTCAGGACACCCTGTAATGGGGCTGGGGGTGGGATCGGGGGTGTTGTAATGGCGCTGGGGGGCACTGAGGGTGTCCTGAGAGGTGGGGGTGTCTGCACCCCCAACACACAGGGGTTTGCTCCTGCTCTTTGCCCTCCTGTATTTGCTCCCTGGCTTACGGGCTTTTCCTGTACTGTCTTTGTGCTTTCTTTGTTTGCCCTCTTCCTCTTCCAGCTGTTGTTATTCACCCCCACCACAGTCAAAATAGGCTCTTGGTTTCAGCAGTTTCCTTTCTTCTCTCTCTTTTTTTTTTTTTAAATTAGAAAGCTGCAGGTCTAATTTTAGTTCCTCTATCAGGGACACCTCTATGCTGCTTTCAACCCACCCTCTTTTTGAAACCAGCGATTTTTCAACCGGGGAGAGCCGGGGTGCTCTGAGATCCTTTCAGGGTGCCATGGGTGTCTCACCTTGCAAAGCTGTTGGGTGTGCAAATGTAACTCACAGGATAAGCCCTGAGACTGCCATGAAAAGTCCATCCTGTTGTAACTGATCCTGATGGGCTGTGGGCTTTCTGAGTTGTTTGCAGTGGAGCAGTTGCCATGTCACTTCTCCACACTCAAAAATCAGTGAAAACAAAGAGTTGACCTCTTCTGGGAGTTGACTCACATCAAAGGAGGGATTCATTGAGCCTAAAAAGGTTGGGGCTCAGGAGACCTGCTGACGGCTGCTAGCTGGCATATACAGGCCAAATCTTGATTTTGTGTTTTAATTTCTAGTTCAGGCCTTTCTTGGCAAAGGGAAAAATATTTTTTTCTGCGTGGGCTTCCTCTTTCCAAAAATCTCAACTGTTATCCTCCTCTGGTTTCTTGTACCTTGTTTTTGTACCCAGTGCAACTAATTTGTAGCTAGCTAATGCTGTCCTGTTGGTGATACGGTCTTTCTGGTGTGCACTTATTTTTGGTAACTTTTTTTTCCTGTGTTGGTGCTGCTGTGTAACACGGTCACTGTTAGTTTTTCTTCTTTTGTTAAACTGCTTACGTTTCTCTTGGAATCTTCCACTTTTGCATATACTGGGCAAATTAGTTATACACCTAGTTTATATATGTCTGCACGATAGGTTTCTGTCTGCTGTTTATTAATTATTCTTTTTTTTTACCTGGACACCACCTTTTATTTCCTTAATGCTTAGAGAATTATTATCCTTTTTGCCTCTAAGGAAAAAGAGTTTTCTCATTTACTCCTGTCTTCTTTTGACATTACTTGATGAATGCAGTAGTTAACCTTGCGACATAGTTACCTGTCAGACAGTTTATACAGTTCCTTTAAAACTTATCCAGTGTAGCTCATTTAAGATTTAAGGTATTCTGGAACTTGGTTTTGTTTGTTTGTTTTTACAAAGTCAGTAATGGGCAACATAATCTTTAGAAAGTCCTTGTTAAATGATTGTGGGTAATGGATATAGTAGAAATGAACCTAAAGTAGCTTCAGTTTTTATTGTGTGTTGTGACCATGTATCCAGCATGAGTAATAAAGTGGAATTGAAGCGGTGGTTAATCAAGTTGAGCACAGTTTGCAAAATATGCACGTACAAGCTGCACATAATCTACTCTTCTATATTTATAGATTTATTGAGCTGCATCATTACTACTAATGTACTATTACTACATTAAATTGCTACTATAAATTGCTAAATGAATTGTTCATTTCAAGTAATAATTATTTATAAGTCTAAGTATAACAAAGCAACATTGTCATGAAAATCTGAATGTTGCGGCTCAGAACAATAATAGAAGGTTTTGCGTTTTCTTACGAAAACAGCTTGTCAGACCATTTGCTGATGTCTCCTTTCCAAAATCTTAAACTTCGTTTTTCTTTAATGTCAATCTATTGTAATAGAGTAGAAAAGTTACAAAGCAGAAACATGACAGTTAAACAAAGGATGGTGGGAATACCTATTTTCAGTCTTGGAGTTGATTGTACTGTAAATTCTGTTTTAGATGAGGTTTTTTTCCACTACTGTTTGTTCTGTTACTCAGATTTAAGGACGCTTACTTCCAAGAATAAATATGTATCTCAACCAAAGCAAATGCCCTATTTTATTAGGGAATCAGTTATAATTGAGGGGCAACCTTTTTGGTAGGCGTGTCACAAATTAGCCTTGCACACTTCTCAAGTGCCACTCTTGCCCAGTCTGCCTCTTTGCTTCCATCTTCCTGCTCTGTGCTGCCTGCCTAATCTGCTGCTTTGCTTTCTGCATCCTCCCCTTTGCTCTCTGCCAGACTTGCTGCTCTGTTTCCTGCCCTGTCTGCCACTGTGCTACCTGCCCCTGCCCCCGGTCTGCTTTGTGGTACATGTGCCGTAAGTTGGCCAGCCCTGAGTTATACGGACTTCAGTTTTACCCACATTTTGAACATTGCTTTATTGCTTCCTCTGCAGACTGATAAGTAACGTTTTTTCATTTGTTTGTTTTTTCCTCAGGGGAGAATACCTACGATGCTGCAAGTTCTGTTATCCACTATGTGCTTTTGTCATTCTGGCTGCTTGTGTGGTAGCTTGCGTTGGCTTAGTGTGGATGCAGGTTGCCCTTAAGGAAGATCTGGATGCTCTAAAGGAAAAGTTTCGAACTAGTAAGTATTGGGATTTTTCTTGTTTTGTTTTGTGTTTGTTTTTTGTGATCAATTTAAACTTGTCTATTTGTGATGCTAGCTGTTGGGAGAAGCAGTCGTGCATAATGAAGCATGCTATATCATGCTTCAGATCTATTTACTTGACAAGTTCTGGTTGTATAGTGTTCGCACCTCAGCTGACTGTTGACTTTCATAGAGAGAATTAGATATCATTCTCATAAAGCATGAAAAGATTTCCTTGAGGCTGTAACTGTATTGACATGAAGCTGTTCCTGTCACTTGCTTCACTTTGAGCATGTCATAGGAGACAGTGGAACCACGTCAGAGCAGCACTGGGTTTGTGCTCGGGTTTACTCTTGGGTAGCCACATTTGCCTTGTTTTCTGGAGTTGGTATGTGCGGTGCAAGAGAGAATTGCTGGGGGATGTTTCATGGTGCCTTAGGTGCTGAATTGCAGCATGGTTTTGAGACTATTTGGTTTTTAATATGGTTGCAGCAGCATTAAAAAAAAAAAGGGAAGAAAAATCCTTTGTGTTTGAAAATAGTCTTTATTTTTTCTTCCAACTGAACTGAAAGTAATGGAAGATGTTTTGTTCCTTTGGCCTGCTCTGTCAAATCTCAGTCCTGTCCCTGTTTTTGTGCTGTATGTACCATTTCAGTACCACATTGGTTGCTTTTGCATTTTCCTAAAACTTGGAATTCATTTTGTTGAACCTTGATCTTCCAGGATTAGTATTTCTTATTGGTTAGTCATCATCTCCTGTTTAATGCTGGCACGAGCATGTTTGTCTGTTAATTACGTATTTCAGGAAAACTGGGTTTTATTTATAGACTTACTTTAGTGGCTTGCTTGTTTTTTTTTTGTTGTTGTTTTTTTTAGTGTTTTGGATTTAAGGATTTTATTCAAAATAGTGCTGAGCAAAGTATCAAACTATAATATTTAAGCATGTGTGTTCAGTTTTAGGCCCTTCACTGCAGAAGGGATGTGGACAAATTGGAGAGAGTCCAGTGGAGGGCAATGAAAAGTGGTTAAGGGGCTGGGGCAATTGACTAGCGAGGAGAGGCTGAGGGAACTGGGCTTAATTAGCCTGCAGAAGAGGAGATTGAATAGCAGCCTTCAACTCCCTGCAGGGGGATTGCAAAGAGGATGGACCTGGGCTGTTCTTGGTGGAGTCGGATGACAGGACAAGGAGCAATGGGCTCAAGTTGCAGCAAGGGAAGTTGAGGTTGGATATTAAGAAAAACTATCTCACTAGTAGTTGTGTTGCAAACCTGTCTTGAGCACTTAATTTTATACTATCCACTTCCAAGGAACATTGATGGAAAAATCAGAGTACTTAACAGTTCTACGTTTGTTTGGTTGGGTTTTTTACCATGGAAAGGTTTATCAGGGCTCTAATTTATTGCTCAGAATATGGAACAAATCCAGAAATTTTCCTCTTGGAGGCAGAAACTGTCTAAATAGATATGATGGATAAAGACTGGTAAAGAAGCTTTTAATATCCATCTCTTATAAATGGACCATGAGATGTACAGGTTAGTCTGGCCCAGAATTTGGAAAGAAACCCTCATCCTCTTGAGTCCTACTTAAGGGCTTTAATCAGAAAGACCATTCTTGCTTTTTTATTTTTTCTTTCTTTTACAGTTTAACAATATCTCATTGTTCTCATTATACATTCCTGGAATTGAATTGAGAATAAATACAGTATTTCTGTGAAAAGAAAACACCTTTGCTTTATACTTTTACAACTGGCCACAAAAATCTGTTTCCCTATCTGTTCTTGCCTCACAAAGATTTTCTCTTAATTAACCATTTTCTTTTAATCTTGTATTTGGGGACTTGCTGTAATTAGGAGCTGGTATGCAAACTGTTGTCGTTTTAATTGCTGAACCAGGTTTTGTCGAAAGGATTTTGACACCATCTTATTTTTTTTCACTTGAATGTAACAATTTAATATTGGAAAATATCTAACTATTAATAGATCATTTTAAAAATCTCACTGAAGTGTTTTCACCACGGACAGCTGACTGAAGCTTAAAAATCATTATAAAATTAATTTTCAAAGCAGCATAGAAACTTGAAGCAGGTCACTGAGGTGAATGATAAGAAACACCAATAAAAGTCTGAAATCAGTAATATTCACCTGCAAGGCATCCTGAAATTTTTAATTAAGAGGATAGCAAGCTATCACATTTCATTGTGAGCTATTAAAGTGAATAATCTAGAAGTGCCCAATTAATCTGCCAGTCTGCATATATAAAAAAAAAAAAAAAAATCTTATTTTTGAAATTGTTAAAAAGAAAAAAAGAAAACTCTTTTTTTAAAAAAAAAAAAAAAGAAAAGAAAAAAGAGACACCCTGTGAAACCTATATAGGTTGCTTAGGTCTGAGATCTGTTTTCTCTTTTTTTAATGTTATTAAAAAAAAAAAAAATCAAGGTTGTTTTTGGGTGGGGTTTTTTTTTGTTTTTTGTTTTTGTTTTTGTTTTTAGGAATTAACTCCCACAACTAACTAACTTCCTAATCTTCCCCTCACTTATTTTTTCTTTAACTGTTTACTTAATTTATTTTTATTTCCAGATCATTATACTCAGGAAGTTGCTCTTTGTCGATTTGTTGTACTGGCACACTTCTAATGTACGAGTAAAAGCAGTTTGTTTGTGGTATTAACTGTGTTCAGTACTCTGTTGTTCCTTCATGTGACTGGAAATCCCCATAATCTCTTTGGGAATTTTCATTATGGTCATGCATCGTATTTGTATGCTTGGAAATGAAGTCCAGTTTCACTTTGTTTCACTGTGGTGGTGCAGTTCTTATAATTGTGCGTTTTGTGCTGTATCATAGTTGGATTATATGAAATAACTATGATTTGATAACAAAACAACAAGTTATTCAGTGCTACATGAATAGATTTTTAAAAGTAACCAAAATATGAAGCTACCAGAAAATACCAGGCTTAGTTGACCTTTCCAAAGTCATGCCCTCTACAAAGTGTAAGCATTGAATACTATTAGATTAGAAAAATGCTATTGTTTTAAAAGGATTTTTCTGATTAATCTTGAATACCTCGTATGCAGACAGTGCTGTGTTCTTGATGTCGTCGGTTGTGACTTACGTAAAAAATGTTAACGGTAAAACACCTTGTTTAATAACTGGCGCTCTCTTTTTTTCTGTCTTTTTAGTGGAGTCTAATCAAAAATCATCATTCCAAGAGATTCCTAAATTAAATGAAGATCTGCTTGATAAGCAAAAGCAGCTAGAACAAATCGAGACTGGAGACATGGGGCTAAACAAGATTTGGACAAATATTACCGAAATCAATAAACAGGTAATATGAACAAATGCACCATTCTAAACAAGGATCTGAGATATTGAAATATTTCTAACTGAGCTGTACTTATGCTTCATCTAAAATGTAAATGTGAGTTGTCAACTACTTACAAGCACACTCTCAACCACTTCCCCAAGGACTTGATGTCAGACCTTATGTCCAGTGATGCCAAACTTTTTAAAGCAAAGTTGAGAAGAGCTGTACAACTTGCCATGTGTTTTCCTTGAAAATAATGGAAATCTCATTAGCTTTGCAAAGTTCACCCAGAGAATATTATAATGGATCAAAAATAATGACTGGACCTTGGTCAGCTAATGGTGAAATATTAAATGAGTTGGCTTAAATCTGACAGGTGCTTTCATATTCTTGAGTAATATGATCTTTTCACTTATTCCTCTGTATGTGCTGGGGGAGAGAAGAGAATTGGCATATGTGGCTACCACAGAGGGTGAAGGGGCAGAAAGATGCCGAAATCATAATCCAAGTTTATAGTATTGCAAGAGAAACAAATTGCTCTTTATCTTAATGGGTAACATCCTGATGCACGTTCTGAGGTGGTACATGTCATAACTTATTTGAAGTCACAGATTCACAGAAATTCAGGGCTAGAAGGAACCTCACAAGGTCAAGTCCACCCCCCTTGCTCAGGGCAGGAAACCAATGAAGCTGAGTATCTGAACCTTTGACGGATCAAATTTTAATCAAACTTCCAAGTTAAAACTGGTTGGTAAGAATCTTAGCATAGTTGTTGGGTATCTGTTTTGAGGTAGGGTAGAGATGTATTATAAGTCTGTGAAACTGACTGCTTTTAAAAACCATTTGCATTGGATAAGGTAGTCACCTAAGTAACTAGAAACATCTGACCCAAAGTGACTACAGATAAAAACATCTATTGGGATTTTTTTAAAGTCCACTAAGCACCAGTCTGTATCTTTAGGTAATTACAAAACTTTATAAAGAATCTTGACATTTGGTATTAGTCACTTACAGGATTTTATAGTTTGATCAATTAGGCTGAATCTTAATTTCACTGTTCCTAATTTCCTAAGCTGCAGAGGAAAGCTGTCTCAAAAAATAAGTGTTGAGAATTCAGCTTTACCCCATGAATATCTTCAGTTTGCATCTGTGCAGCTGTAGATGTAGTGAGCCAGCTAATTCAGGTCCACTTTATTGCAGGATTAATATCTCTTCTGTGTGAGAAACCACTTAGTTGCTGTTTATTATTACTATTGAAACATGGTGAGTTCATCTGTTTAACAAGTGGAGGTTATCAAATGTCACCTCGAAAGATTTTGTACTGCAAAGGACTATGAACTGCTTTTAAAGCGAAATCTTTAGCAAATGATTACAACTTGTAGACGCTTAGTTACTAATTGCCAGCCTTGTAACTTGGATAAGTCATATTTTTGAGCCAGTTTGATTGACTCATCTTTTGGTGCATTGCTTCTAACCTACCTGTGAGCTAAGTTCTCTTTCTATCTCTCTCTGTCTTGCTCAGATTTTAACTGTCCTAATTTTGCAACTAAGTTTTCTGGCTGGGTTATGCACATGACTTGCATTTTGTGAGTATTAGAAGCATGCTTAGAAGGGAGGAGACAGCAGAGTTGTATCTTCCTGTTCCCGACAACAGTGACCAAATATGTAGCTAGATGACAGCACATCTCCTGGTTTCAAAAGTTGCTTGCTTATGTAATTTTTTTCTCTCATGGGGAGCTTCTGTTATAGAAACAGGCAGATACAGACTAAAAAATATCTTGAAAACAAAGATAAAGGGCATTAGCTTTGAGTCTTATGGTAGGAGCAACATTTTAAACAGAATGTAAGGAATGGAGCTGTTTGGGGTTTTTTTAATGTAGCGCTGTTTTATTTATTTGGGTATACTGCCCTCCCCAAAAAGGTTCAGGGTGGCTTACAGCTATCTATAACTTACAGTAGAAATCGTAGATCAATGGTGTTCAGTGTATTCTTATTGATAACCTGTTTGTACCCATCATACTAGTATCAGGATGCCTCTTAATAACTTCTGAAGGCATAAGAGCATTGCTGTTATCCCTGCTTTCCAGGAGTGAGGCAGAGAGATGAAGACTTAGATTCCAAAAAGTGTTTTTGGTGCTAAACCCCTTGATTTGACCATGGAGATTAGAGCCAGGTACTGAAAGGTATTAAGCACTGAAGTGACCTGCCTAAGGTCACACAGGGCAGGAAGCTGAACCCGCATTTCTTATATAGGTAAGTTCTCTAACATCTTAGCCATTCATTTTCTTGCTCTTCTGGCTTAGGTGACTCCCATGTGAAATAAAAATGTCTGAAAAATATCTGAAGTTGTAATCACAGAAAAGTATTTGTTGAATATTGAAAGGATTAAAAAGTATTCAGACTGGAAGTGTCCGGTTTTGAAGACGTGTGTTTAAAGGAGTTTCTATTAATGCAGAAAGCATTAACGTTTCTTTTTTCTCTGGTGGTCTTGTGAATAATGTAAGATGGTATTTCCTTTTTATAGGTCCTATTTTCAGGCATATCCATCTCCATCCAAACAGTTGCTCTCTTCTTGTTTTCTGGTAAATTAAATAAACTCATTTTGTATGAAACCTGCAGGAAATGGAGAAAATGCTTATAATTTTAAACAGTCTGTTAATACAACAAAGTGACCTCACAACTCTAGTGAGCAGATTTACTATGCAAGCGAAGGGCAGATCTTTCTAAAAATAATAATAACGTTAGGGAGTTATTCATCTAAACAAAAGCATTCTAGGGAGTCTGATAGGTTCACTATGAGCTCTGCCTTTTGAATTCAAAGATTTGTGGTGAAGATGCTCTGTGACTTTCAAGGCCCTAGCCAATGAACTTTTGGAGTTGTTTTGATTTATGAGAGGGGTTCATTTGTGCCACAAACATTAGGGTGACCTGCCTGTTCTTCTTGCCTGCATGATGGTGATGACTGATGGAACTGGGGATTCTGTGCACTTGCAAGAAGAGCACGTGGCCCCAAATAGTCGCTTCTATTTCTTGGTTAAGGTCAGTCATGAGTTGCAAGTCATTAGGGTTAGGGGAGATCAAAACAAGGAGCTCTCATGTCTTTACTAATTAAGTCCTTCTCTCTGCTTTGTAGATCTTGTTGTTGACTTCAGCAGTAAATCACCTCAAAGCCAATATCAAGTCTGCTGCTGATTTGATTAACCTTCCTGTCACAGTAGAAGAACTTCAGAAGGTAAGTATTGCAAATATAGCTTTTGACTGGCAACATACTATAACTCTGAACAGCAGCTAACTACAGAAACTATTAGAAATTTTCAGGAATTCCTGAAGTTTGACAAGGTTCATATACCTATATGAAAAGAGTTGATAAGCATGGTGATATGGTGCCCAGGAGGGTTGGGAGCTTCTAAAGGGTACAGTAGTGGAAGACCAAAAGAAAACTGTTTGACATGATGGAAGCATAAGAATAGTAAAAGGACCAATGTGTCTGCACAAGCAGCTTGTACAATGATTCAAATGCAAAAGGAAAAATGTACAGGCAGTAAGAGGTCACCAAGGAGGCATACCAGAAAATAGTAAGAGGCACAGAGGCGCAGGTAAAAAAAATGAGCTGCACCTGGTCAGAGAGGTGAAAGGCAACAAGGAGAGGTTCTATAAGTATGTTTGCCAAAAAAGAAAGACCCACAGCTTCCTTGGTTCACTGTTAAAAAGCCAAGGTTGCCTCTTAACACAAAATGCTGCTTGAAAGCTATTTTGCCTTGGTCACTTTCACAAAAAAAATTTAAGCAAACAGCTAATGGGGATTATGTGGATAAGCAAGGGGACAAGATGAGGGATGAGGTGAGACGGAGAGCTTTTGATGGGCCTGAATGAATTCAAATCATCAGGGCCTGAAGAACTTCATCTCAGTACTGAAGGAGCTGGCAGAGGACATCGTGAAACCTTTGGCAATAATGTACATTAAATCATGGAAGATGTGCCAGACATCTGATGACTGGAAAGGGGCCAATGTAGTACCCTTTTAAAAAAAGGTATAAATGGAGGCCCTAGGGAACTACAGACCAGTTAGCCTCATTTCAATGCTTGGGAAGTTACTGGAGCATATGTTAGGGAAGTTGTATTTGCAGGCAGCTGGAGGAGGAAAGGCTGATCGCAAGTAGCCTGCATGGATTTACTAGGAACAAATCATGCCAGACAAACTTGATTTCCTTCTTTAACAAAGTACTTGAGTGGATTAAGAGAGTGTGGCTGGACTTCAGCACAGCTTTTGACAAAGTCCCACCTGACATTCTCATAAACAAAATTGGAAAATGTAGGTTAGACAAAACTACTATAAGGTGCAGAGACAACTGGCTGGAGTTGCAAGCAAAAGTTAATTATAAATGGATCCATATCAGAATGGCAGGGAGTTTCACATGGAATCTCACAGGGATCCATCCTGGGCCCAGTGCTGTTCAGTGTGTGTAGTAAAGATTTGGACACAAAACTGGGATGGAGTGAGAACACTTTGGAGATCAGGAGTGCAACTAAGAAGGATCTTGATGGCTTGGAAAGTTGGGCTTGAGCTAACAGGATGAAGTTTGGTGCTGACAAATATAAGATGCTGCACCTCAGGGAGAATAATTATAAATATAAAATGAGCAGCACTCTGGAGAAGTATCTGGGAGCCTTGGTTGGTCACAAACTCAATATGAGTCTCCAGTATGATGCAGCTGCACAAAAGGTTAATGCAGTTTTGAGATGCATCAAGAGAAGTATTAAGTGCAGAACATGGGAGGTGATGGTGCTTCTCTGCTCAGCTCTGGTTAGGCTTCCTCTAGAGTGGTGAAAGTGGTTAAGAAGAGACATCCTAACAGTCTTCAGCTATCTGAAGGGCTGCCATAAAAAAAGAGAACACCTTTTCTCTCTGGTTGCAGGTGGATCAGTGGCTTGAAGTTGCAACAAAGTAGGTTTAGATTTGGATATCAGGAAAAGCTTCTTTACTATTAAAACAGTAAGGCAGTAGAATAGATTGCCTAAGGGTGTTATGAAATCTCCATCATTGGAGGTGTTCAAAAAGACAAGCATTAGTTAGGGAACACCTAGGCATAGCTATGCCTATGTTCTACTCTGAGTACTTCCAATGCTTCTGGGCTTTGGCTGCCACACGGGACCAGGAAGAAATGTTTTCTCCTCCTGTTGCTACATGGCAGGGTTTTTACCTTCCTCAGAAGCTTTGGATGTTGGCCACAGTCAGGGCTGGGGTTTTGGACCAGGGTGTGCCATTGGTCTTGTTGAGACTAAAAGCTGGAGGTTCCTGGTAAGAGGGTCCTGTCCTTCTGCTTTGAGTCAGACCAGTCACCACGTTTGGGGTCAGGAAGGAATTTTACATTGTGATCTGACTGATACAGGCTATGGGGGATTTTACCTTTCCCTGTAGTTGGTGGTCATGCTGTCCCCGCTTCCCCTTCCTTGGATCTCTTTTGCATATTGTAACAGCCTTTGTGTCATCAAAACATTGCCCCCCTGCTTTTACCTGTAGCAAGTTAGGGTGTTATGTCTTATGGTTGTATTGGAGTTGATTCATTTTGCTAGCAAGTTAGACAGACAGTGGATATTTATTAGGATGGTTTTGGATAGGGGTGATCCTGTCTCATGCATGGGGTTGGACCACATGGTCTCTGGAGGCCCCTTCCAGACCTGCTGTTCTATGAGTCTATGAAATATCATTAGCTTGGCTTTAAGTAGATATTCTTTCAGATACAGTTCATGTGGCTTTGCACCAAATGATTATTAGTTAATGTAAACTAGAACATGGTGGGGAGATTATCCATGAAAACTCATGTCTACAGAATTAAGCGAAAAAGATATACTATAACAATGTGTCTGTTCCATGGGGAAGGGGGGGCACCTTGCTTTCAAGAAAGTAACCTTTCTTAGACCATGAGGGTCCTTTAACAGACGTGGTTGCAAATGTTATCCTTGCAGCCCTGAATCAGTATTTCATTTGACTTTTATCAGTATAAAATGAAATTACATCACTTGTTATGAAGATTAAGATGATTTTTCCAGCATAATTCCACTTGTAGGTTTTTTTTATATTGACACTTAAAAACAATTATAAGTGGAAAATAATTTGCCTGAAAGAGTGAGCCAGCATCATGAGATCATTTGTAGTGTTTTGTTTAGTGTAAGCTTGGTAAAAAATTATGAAAAGCAGCTATAGTGCACACACTGTAATCAGAATTTCCAAGTTAGATGTCTGCTATTTTATAATGATTTTCACAATATTATGAGGCAGTAAAATTGATTAGTGGCTTTAAAATTTTTAAATGCAAGACTTCTCAGAATGGCTTTAAATGCTCTAAACTTACACCGTTTTGCATACTCTAAATGAACCAAGCAGGCCATTTCCATGCAGTTTATAATCCCTTGAAAGAAAAAGCAACTGATGGCACATAATAAGTATACATTAACTTCTATTATAGATTTCATAGACATTAGGGCTGGAAGGGACCTTGGAAGATCATTGAGTCCAGCCCCCCTGCCCAAAGGTCAGGAAGTCAGTTGGTCATACGATCCCAGCAAGATAAGCATCCAATTCGCTCTTGAAGGTGTTCAGTGTAGGTGCTTGAACCACCTCTGATGGCAGGCTGTTCCAGACCTTGGGGGCTCAGACAGTAAAAAAAAAAAAAATTCTTCCTTATGTCCAGCCTGAAACGGTCTTGTAGTAGTTTATGACCGTTTGACCTTGTCATCCCTTGGGGCGCTCTGGTGAACAAACGTTCCCCCAGATCCCAGTGGTCACCCCGATAAACTTATAGGTAGCCATCAGATCACCCCGAGCCTGCTGTTTTCCAGGCTAAATAGCTCCACGGCTCTCAGCCTGTCATCGTAAGGTCTGTATTCCTGACCTCTGATCATGCGCCTGTTCTCTTCTGGACTCTCTCAAGCTTCTCCACATCCTTTTTGAGTTGTGGAGCCCAAAACTGGATGCAGTACTCTAGCTGCGGCCTCACCAAGGCAGAGTACAGGGGGAGAATGACGTCCCAGGATTTGAATGAGATGCATCTGTGGATGCAAGCCAGCATTTTGGTCGCTTTACTAGCCGCAGCATCGCGCTGCCGGGTCATGTTCATCTTGTGGTCAGTGATGACCCCCAAGTCTTTCTTCCGTAGTGCTAG